AAGTTCAGTTCACAATGAGGTAACCAATGAGGTTTTGTCTGAAATTTATTTGTCGTCAAGTATTACAAATGCATGTCAGAGGAAAGACGTATCAGAATTTTAGCAATATGATGCAAGTGATGAATTATTGCCTCAAGTTCATATTCCAGAATTTGCAAGTGAATTTCACAATCTTTGGGATTTAGATCGTGATGTTGGTGATTACATCTTGGGAGAAATCCCAATTCAAGGAGATAATTCGGGTGATTTCAGAAATGTACCTCCAAGTTCTAATAGGTCAACAACAGTGCTAAGCAATCCCGTATTTAAGAATTGTTCCATTGTTACCTTTAACATAAATAAGTAGGATATGAGTTTTCTGAACACATCGTGGTCACGCAAGCCTCGTCCCTCCAGACAAGTTGCACACAGAGCCTGGCAAAGTATGGTATTTACTGGACTTTAATGTCTATCACCCCAAGAATCCAGACCAAATCAGAGTTTTGTTTGATTATTGTAAGGATGAGAATATGTGGACCGCGTAGCACTTATGAAATACATGAAGATATAGAAATATAGATAAGTTATAGTGCTTGGGAACGAGGTTATTCCGGGCGAAAGACCCTTGGAATTAAATTGATTATTGTAGTGCGGTCTACAAGAACGAATCTCTGAATCAACATCTACTGCAAGGCCCTGACCAGCTGAATTCTTTGGTTGGAGTACTGACACGTTTCTGAAACGAAGAGATTGCCATCATGTGCAACATCGAACAAATGTTCCACAGCTTCTTTGTATCCCCTGAACACGGAAACTATTTGAGAKTCCTGTGGTTTGAAAAAAACTACCCCTCTGGTCCAATACTGGAGCACATGATGGATGTACAGTACACCTTTTTGGTGCGACATCTTCCCCTGGAGTGGCCAACTTCTGTCTGCACCAAACAGCAGAAACAAACAGGTCCAAGTACGGAGACGAAGCAGCTAATTTCCTTCTGAAAAACTTTTATGTTGACGATGGGCTGACGTCATCCCTACGACTTCTTAAGCCATCAAAATCGTGCAAGATGCCCAACAAATGTGTGCAGCCACAAACCTTCGCTTACACAAAAGTTTGCAAGCAACAACGCTGAAGTTTTGGAAGCTCTAGAAACCGAAGATCATGCTAAAGACCTCAAAGAACTTGACCTCCACAAAGACAGCATCCCAATCCAGAGATCTCTGGGCACCTATAGGTGCATAGAGTCAAACATCTTTGGATTTCGGATTGAACTAAAAGACAAGCCCTTAACTCGCCGAGGTACACTGTCGACAGTCAGCTCTGTTTATGACCCCTTGGGTTCAGTATCTCCAGTAATATTGGTCGGGAAGCAGATGTTTCAATYGCTCTGCCGCAAGAACACTGATTGGGATGACCCAGTACCTAACGACATATTGCCCCAATGGGAGAAATGGCGTTCACAGCTACCACTCCTAGAGAATCTTAAATATAATCGGTGTCTAAAACCACCAGGTTTTGGAACCCCAGTATTCTGAGAGATTCACAGCTTCTCTGATGCCAGCAACGCAGGTAACACAAATGAAGAGAACAAGCACCATGTTTACTTTCTAAAGTCCAGGGTCGCTCCATTCCATGGAATGGAATTCACAGCAGCAGTTATGTCCGTCAACGTAACTTCAATGCTCACAAGTGAATTAGACATCGTAGACAGTGGCTGATCCAGGATTTTTCAAAGGGAGGGTCCGTTTTTTTAAACTGTGTATAATTCTCTTTCGTTTAGTCGATGTTAGCCAAAAAAATTGGCTCTAATCACCTAACTTACAATATAGTAACGGACCAAGCTATAATAACACGACCCAACACAAAACTACTAATATTTTTTTTWAATTAAAATTTATATAAGACATTTTTCTTTTACCTAAAAGTTCAAACCTTCAAGGGGGGTTCCGTGGACCCCTTCGACCCCCCCTGGATCCGCCACTGGTAGACATATTCTTGACGTACCACACTTGCTCAGAAACCGTGCTTGGGTACATTAACGACGACGCTCAACGATTCCATGCATACATTAGGAACAGAGTCCAACACATCCGAGACCGTAGCTCCGCCGACCAGTGGCATCACGTTACAGGGAAAGACCATCCAGCCAACAAAGCCTCACGTGGACTAACTGCCCAAGAGCTCATAGAAAACCACCGCTGTTTCAATGGCCCAGATTTCTTGGAGCAATCAAGTCCAATTGTCTCAAACAAACACCAAGCAGAGATTCCCAGAAACGCTGGAGGCAACATGTTTCAAACATTCTTCTACACTGAATCGACTTGTTCCTGCCATAGTACGAATCCAAAGAATGATTGAAAGGCGAAGACCAAACAAGCAGTACAACTGGCATTCAAAGGAAGGTGCGCCATTGGATGTAAAAAGGCAATGGAACCAAGCCCATGACAAAGCGTTCCAGACCATCAAGGATATGATCTCGAGTGCATCTGTGCTGAGATACTACAATGTACAAAAGGATCTAACTGTCCAATGTGATGCAAGTGACAAAGGCATTGGTGCAGCCTTGCTGCAGAACGGTCAACCTCTTGCCTTTGCCAGCCGTGCACTGACCGATACAGAAACCAAATATGCATCCATAGAGAAAGAGATGCTAGCTGTAGAGTTTTCTCTCAACAAGTTTAACCAGTACGTCTACCCGTCGACCCGTCACAGTCAACAGCRATTATAAGCCTCTTGAGGCCATTGCACAGGAGCCACTAAGGAATGCTCCAAAGTGACTTCGAGGAATGCTGGATTCAAAAGTACGACATCAGAATCGTCTACAAGCCAGGACCAAAGATGTATCTTGCAGACACTCTGAGCAGGGCGTTCATTACTGGACAGAGAAGTCCTGGTGAAGAGATTGGGATTGACAGGACAAAAGAACGCATCCGTGAAAGTACAGCACAAGATCAGGTGTTACAACAACTTACAGAAGCGATCCTCAAAGGCTGACCAGAGAATGCCGGTGATGTACCTGCAACACTGATGCCCTACTACGGTTTCCGCGACAAGCTGGCAGTGCATGATGGGCTTGTCTGCAGAGGGGAGAGACTCGTGATTCCTAAAGATCTGAAACTGGTGATGCGCAAAGCAATTCACAGCTATTGACAGATCTTTGACATATTTTGCTTCTTATCTGTTTAGGGCACAGACCTATATCAAGCTTTTTCAAAGTTAAATCAGAGAAGTCGACACATTTTGATAAAATTAGTTGTAGACCTTCAGGAGCTGTTAAACGAAAGTCGTCCGTTAAAGCTGCTGATGTGACAGTGGTTCTAGAGGAGGCAAGGGCGATACAGATGTGATACATTAGTATATGAGGGATATAAACTTAAAAGGGGAACTATGAAATTTGAAAAAATATTGAAATTTAAATGAAAAATGAAAAGTTTTAAAATTGATGTACATCAAAGGGGTCTTAGTGAGGTAGACCCTTTTAAGTTTCCACTGCTCATAAATTAGGGATTGACTATTTGAAAAGTGATTTAATTTGACAATTGTTTATAAGGTACCAGGCCCTCGCAGTTGAAGAAAGCTCTTGAAAGGATTGAAAGACAAATGTCAAGCTTTCATACTATATTTTGATCAAGAGTAATGTGACTCCCGCATTTTATTCATTTAGTGCTTGTTTTGTCAAAATTCTATAAAATAATAGTAATTTATTTCCTAATCAATGCATTTAAAAATCGCAATGCTTTTTACAATATATACAATGATATAACAAAATATGTACAATAGTAATATAATTTGTTAAAATATGAAATTATTGTACATATATTATATTCATTTTAAGTTACTTTTTGCTTTTAATTCTGCAGGCTGCATCGAAAATCAGAAATGAGATGAGCCACGAGTTTGGTCTAAACCTTTCCAGGGCTATAACTGCAACTACCTCTAAAGACACTGGCAGTTCCAATGAAAGGGATGATACCCTATCGTTGGGGGCAATTGTGAGTCAGGAAACAATACTTTGTGCTGAAAAGGAATTGGCTGTCTTTCGAAAAGTACAACATTATAGTTTGCGAGTTGACAAAACAGGTTATAAGTTTTCAAACTGTCAGAAGTGAAGAACTAGATGCTAGGATAGAATGTGCTCTTGACAGCAACCCTCAACTTCACGCACGGCCACATTACAGGAGTATCATCAGAATTTCTTGGCACCCCCTCAACTTCCCCTTGCACCAAGAGCTGCAGCATCAGCCAGTACAGTTGCAGGACATTGGATGAGCCCACATCATTATTTGTCAACCCCTTCAGTTTCCTCATCACCAACAGCTGTTACATCAACCAGCACAATGGCAGGACGATGGATACATCCACAGAATTATTTGCCATCTCCTTCACTTCCCCCAATACCGAGGAATGCAACATCAGCCAGTTAAGTGGCAGGACAGTGGATGAGCCTTTAAGAATTATTTGCACAACCCCTTCAGTCCCTTCCGTACCAACAGCTTTTCCGGCATCAAAACGGCCATGGATGCATCCTCAGCAAGCCACTGCCATCACTGCTACTGGTTCTCGACAGCCATGGCACAATGCCAACCCTTTTGTCATTGTTGCCTTGAGCAACAGGGTAAAGAAATGTGCTGGTTGCCCTTACGAATTTAGAAAAACACAAGGACACCTATTTATAGGTCTAATAATCATAGCTATAGATAGATAGCTATACATACAGTTTTAAACAATAGAAAATTGGGTCTATAAATATAACATAAAAGATCTGGACATATTTATATTAAAACGAGAGAACTAAGATATAATTAATCTGACAATTAGAGAGAAAAAAAGCAAAAATTAAGGATGTCTCAAGTATCAATTGATGATATGAAATGAATTATAGACTATTTAACGATGATATTGGAAATTAAGATTACTAATGATCAGCTACAATAAGATCGGAATAAGTCATCATTCAGCCCCTCTTTAAATTTATTGCTATTCTTTAATTTTTTCAAATTTTCATCAATTGAATTCCAGCATTTTGATCCCGAATATCTTATATTCATCCTGCATAAAGAAAATTACTTCTACAATGATGCAAATGGACTGATGAGACTGTCCACAAAGAGTAACAGTCACTATAACTGCCATTGTCCATGTCTTCAAAAACGCCATCTTTACCTCAACAAGGCCAACATCAGACCAGACCCCTCTCTAATAGTGGATGAATTTCAAAGAGCAAGTGTAGACTCTGTTAGACATTGATATTTAACAATGATTAATGTAACTCATATATTTATTTATAATCTTAGTTACGTATGTATTTTTTTCTACTTTTTTAAATTTTCTTATCGGATTAATTCTTCTATGCTAATCTACTTCATGTTTGTTCATGACTAACCTCAATTGAAGAGAAACTTTGCAGGAGAGGAGAGCGAAAGACCCCTTTATCATCTTCAGTTCCCCTTTCCTGCAAGTGCCCATCCTGCAAGGAAAGAAATCAGAGGTCATAGTCCGCATGCTATCCATGCTACATATACTTGATACGGACTATGTTGAACGCTTCAGTATTGCTTTGAATAAACATGCCCAAAGAGCCAGTGTAGACCAGGCTGCCTGGTTGGGACGGTTTACTAGTGTCTGATTCTAAGAATTTAAAGGAGAAGTGGAAAAAAGCTGCAAAATTTCGAATGACAGTGTTGACCATTTAAGGAAGAGCATTATCGAAAGAGCAGCAAGCCTCTGCTACTCCTTCTTGTCCTCCTTCTCTTCACATTTCAAACTATAAAGTCTCAAGTCATTTCTATTCTGCTTTAGAATATTCACTGAAGTAAAGAAGTTAACAGTATGTTGAACGCTTCAATATTCCATTGAATAAACATGGATGAAGAAGAGCATTATCGAAASCGAAACAAGCATCTGGTACTCGTTCTTGTCCTCCTTCTCTTCGTATTTCAAACTATAAAGTCTGAAGTCGCTTCTATTCTGCTTTAGAATATTCACTGAAGTAAACAAGTTAACAGTATGTTGAACGTTTCAATATTCCATTGAATAAACATGCACGAAGAAGAGAATTATCGAAAGCGAAGCAAGCGTCTGGTACTCGTTCTTGTCCTCCTTCTCTTCACATTTCAAACTATAAAGTCTGAAGTCATTTCTATTCTGCTTTAGAATATTCACTGAAGTAAAGAAGTTAACAATATGTTGAACGTTTCAATATTCCATTGAATAAACACGCACAAAGAAGAGCATTATCGAAAGCGAAACAAGCATCTGGTACTCGTTCTTGTCCTCCTTCTCTTCGTATTTCAAACTATAAAGTCTGAAGTTGTTTCTACTTTGCTTTAGAATATTCACTGAAGTAAACAAGTAAACATTATGTTGAACGCTTCGATATTCCATTGAATAAACATGCACGAAGGAGAGAATTATCGAAAGCGAAGCATGCGTCTGGTACTCGTTCTTGTCCTCCTTCTCCTCGCATTTCAAACTATAATGTCTCAAGTCTTTTCTATTCTGCTTTAGAATGTTCACTGAAGTAAACAAGTTAACAGTGTAAACAAGATCTGAAAAAAGGAAAGAAATCAGATGTCATAGTCAGCATGCTATACATGCTACATATACTTAATACGKACTATGTTGAACGCTTCAGTATGGCTTTGAATAAACATGGCCGAAGTGCCAGGGTAGACCACGTTACCTGGTTGGGACGGTTTACTATTRTCTGAGTTTAAGAATTTAAAGAAGAAGTGGAAATAAGCTGCAAAATTTCCAATGACAGTGTTGACCATTTAAGGAAGAGCATTATTGAAAGAGCAGCAAGCGTCTGGTACTCGTTCTTGTCCTCCTTCTCTTCGAATTGCAAACTATAAAGTCTGAAGTCGTTTTTATTCTGCTTTAGAATATTTACTGAAGTAAACAAGTTAAGAGTATGTTGAACGCATCAATATTCCATTGAATAAACATGGACGAA